CACTTGACTCACGTTTCAGGAGAAGAAGAAGCCCTCCTGAGACTAAGCCATGGACTGGGCCTCTTTTCCTTTCTGGGAATTGAGACCTGGCCAGGCAGCTGAATTATGTTTCTAGCAACTTGCTGCCTCTGTCTCTGCCTCTGGCAGGGCTTTGCCTAAGGACCTACCTCATGGCAACAGTGAGTATGCAGAAACCCATTTTCCTGTGCCTTTAACACACAGACTCTGGAAAAGAAGCAGGCAGGACCACCCCAAACCAATAAGGATGGACGGGGTAAGGGAGAGGGGTCTTCCCACAAGAACTGGTCTCTCAGTCCTACACTTATTACAAAGCTGGAACACCTGAAACATGTACTCACCCTCAGGGCCTTGGACACAGTAGAAACTGTGACAAAATCCCTACTCTCTGTAGATTCCCATGGGAGGAGGAGGGGTGGAACGATTAATGAAGCCCCACAAATGTGATCTGGTACAAAATTTAGTGAGACCCTGCCAGGAGCCACAACTTGATGCCTTACCTTGTTGGCTCCACTCCCCCAGTTCCAGGAGGTGGGATGAGCTCACAAAGGGCCTGGACAGTTACCTCTCCCATTCCCACCACAGGAGACTGTCTCCTAGAGCCACCTGATGGTACTTCAGTAGAATTAGTGGAATTGACTGTGGAAAATATGTTGGGATCACAGTGGATAAAGAGGTCCCTTTATGCTTCCCTCTGTGGATTGAGGCACAACTCAGAACAGAACAATGTGGGAGCAGGCAGGAGGGTGGTGGGTGGGAGGATCTTCAGAAAAATCTACTCAAGTCTGGGACTAGGTGGGGGTGCTGTGGGATAAGATCACAGCTGTGTCCATGCTGAGTGATGCTCAGCCAGCAGCAAGGATGCCCACTGCCAGGCTCTCCCCCGTCTCTGTCTGGAATAATGGGAAGCCCATCCAGGTCTCTATGGAGGATAAGCCCTGAAGACATCTAATACCACATGTCTGCTGAATCCCCAGTGAGACCCTGTGAGGCAGACTGGAGGATGTAGATAATTCATTTCGGAGATGATCACAAGGGCACACACAAAAAAAAGGGAGGCAGTGGAGGGAGAAGTCAATGTGGCTGTTGTTATGGGTCACTGAGCAGCCATGGGTTTTGTCCTGCAGGAGAGTGTGATACCCTGTGGATCTTGCCTCTGACAGCCTCTCTGAGGCTGGGACAATGGGCTCTTCCACACTACAGCCCCACCTGGGGATGGAATGTTGCCTTACTTCTCCCCACTGAGGTGTGTCTGCTCTGCTTCTGGAGTGCCACTTGCACAGAGGAAGCCCTGAGCAGAAATTGAGGGAGACAAGGACATTGGGGTGAAGCAGGGAATGTCAGCCACCGGGTAGTCCATCTGCATGGGCACTGAAGGGATGACTGGTTAGGGGGTGCTGCCACAGCTTGAGAACCAAATGTGGCCCCTGTCTGTGTGTAAATACAGTCTGACTGGAATACAACACCCTTATTTGTGTTCATATTGTCTATGGTACTTTCGTTTAAAAATTTTTTTTTAACGTTTATTTATTTTTGAGACAGAGAGAGACAGAGCATGAACGGGGGAGGGTCAGAGAGAGGGAGACACAGAATATGAAACAGGCTCCAGGCTCTGAGCTGTCAGCACAGAGCCCGACGCAGGGCTCAAACTCACGGACTGCGAGATAATGACCTGAGCTGAAGTCGGCCGCTTATGTCTATGGTACTTTCAAGGCAACACTGGGGAGTTGAGAACAAGACCATTGGACCCTCAAAGGACAAAAGTTTGCCAAATTTTCTTCTAGAAGATTCATGAGACAGGTGCCACATTTGTCCTGAGGGCCAAGGGCCTGTCTGGGTTCATCTTTTACTTTGGGTTGCCTTCAGGATCATGGTCATTGCACATCTGGAGATGTAGGTCATCCCCCATGAGCCCAGAACAGCAGCTCAGAAGCACTTGTGCTTCTAGGTTGTGCCACCTGGAACTGGCCCAGAGGTCCTAGAGGGAAGAAAACTCACACACTTGGGACCATGAGGTTTCCCTGCTGGATGATTCCTTCACTTGCTCATCCCCTCCTTCTGGAACCCTGACACACAAAGCTTCTTGAAATGCTGATTTTTAATGATCTATTCTATATGAAAAAAAATGGACAATGAGGAATTTCCATTATGGCTGGAAGTGAGACCCAGGCACTTGCTAGAAAACAAACAGAGCTGGTGTTGCACAGCCACTGAAGAGACACCTATAAGGAGCAACTGGATCCAGACCAGCCAGAGTCAGGCAGGGTATAGCAGCACTCAATGGAAGCCCTTGAAGCAAACATTGCACAGGAGTTTGAAGGTGGTTTCCCAGGGTATAGTGGCAATGGTGAAGAAGCCATTGAAAGTCTGAGGGATCAAGCACAGGTGGAAGGTGAATGGAGAGTGGTGGAAAACAGAGGCTCTAGCTCTCAACACAGCACACATCCCAACCACACCTCCTGAGGTGAGCAGCTGGGGATGCAGACTGTGGACCTCAGGTGCATCTCTGCCTGAGCCCTGTCTGTTTTGTGCCTGGGGCCTTTTCCTGACCTCAAGGGATCCTGTACCATGTTCTCATCCTTAGACAAGAGGACTCCAGGGGAACACTCAGGTGGATGCAGTGTGACCCAGGCCCCTAGTAGAGCATTAGGGTGCTCTCTCCCAGGGGATGCTATGTCAGAGTAGCCCCTCGTACCAGGTGGTCATGTCCCCGAGCTGGGGTTCACCTTGAACTTTTCCCCTGGAGCAGCAGCTGATAGATCAGTGGGATGCAGTTCAGGGCATGGGAGGGAGGAGTGTGGGATTCTCCTCAACCCTCACACCATCATGCACTCAGCAGAGACAAGAGAACCTCAGAAATAGCCACAACAGGCCAGGCGATGTAGCCCATCCTGACATGCCCCTCTCCTGAAGGCAGGAAAGGGAGATGGATAAAGCTCAGAGAAGGGACTTCCTGTCTCAGCCCCAGGAGACATGGACCCTTGTGGCCAGGAGCAACCTGACCCCACTATGGCCCATGGGACAGGTGCTAGAATGAGGTGAGTGGACAGAGTCAGTTATGACATTGGATAGGGGCCTACCAGTGGACCCTGGGCCTGGCCTGCCTGGCTCATTCCTACTGCAGCACCAGCCATGGGTGTGACAGGTCCGGTTTCTCCCTCACTCCTTTGTGTCCCAAGGAATGGCACTGTTATCTACTCCCCCTCCCCCTCTGCCCCAAGCTGTAACCTTAGCTATGTAACACAAGGGGCCTTCTGTGTGTCTTACATTGTTCAACTCTGGGCTTTCTTGGAAGGGACAGTTGTAGATCCATGTAGTGTAGATCCATGCTAGTGGATCTGCTAGTGTAGATCCATGTAGTGTAGGGAGAACTCAAACACTCCCCCACTAGGGAGGTGCCTCTGGGGCTGGGTCAGCTTGCTGGGGGTAAGGCTAACCTTGGGGAATTCACAGCAAAGAGGCCTGTGATTGGCATTCAGGCCAGGGGGAGATGCCAGCTGAGTCATACACCATTAATACATCACACCCTGGAGCTCCAAGTCCCTAGATGCCCCTGGGAGACCCGGCCTGACATCCAGCATGCTTCTGAAGCTGCAGCAGCACTCCTGGGGCACAGGTGCCCAGTGCCCAGTGTCCAGGTGGGTGTTGGCTCTGTAGAGTTTGTTGAATAACATCAGTCCCAGAGTGGGAGACTCATATACAGCCCCATTGTCACACCTGCCACCTGCCAAACAATAGGAAAAGGCCCTGCAGTGCTGATGGAACACTCCCATGTAGGCGTGCACACACCCACACATGAACATGGCTTCTGGATGCTTCTTGTCTTATTACAAAGTGCTGCTGGAATTCTCTCTACTCCTCTCCACTCTATTCTGCTTCATTCCATCCCATACCCTCCCTCCACATTCCATTTTCCACAATACCCAAACTCAGTGCAAGTGCAGATCTGGGAAACCCACAGCAGAGGTGCAGCCTGAGAGAGCTTGGGTGGCAGACCCAGCCGGGAGCTGGCACTGCAGCGTGTGTGAGTGTGTATGTCTGTGAATGAGTTTGTGTGTGCATATTGGGGGCCCAGGACTTTCCTCTATCTCTCTCTGGACCTCTGCCCTGAGGGCCAGAGGGAAGGGCAGTAGGAGCTCCACCCTGCATGAGCTCCAGACTCTGTGGACGCTGCAGTGGCTCCCTGTGGCTCAGCCTAGAATCATACATTCCTGGAAGGTCCATCCAGGTCTCTGTAGAGGATGAGCCCTGAAGACGTCTAGCATACATGTCTGCTGTAAGTCCCCAGGGAGACCCTGCAATGAAGACTTTCTGGGGCAAGTAGTACATTTAGGAAGTGATGACGGGGGACACAGAGAGGAAGGGAGCCAGAGGAGGGAGAAAGTTAATGTGGCTGTTTTATGAGTCACTGAGCAGCCATGAGTTTTGTCCTGCTGAAGTGTGTGAGAACCCTGTGGTTCTCATCTCTGGCTGCCAGTCTGAGGTTGGGACCCTAAGCCCTTCCCCACTGAAGCTTTTCCTGGGGGTGAAGTGTGTCCATAGTCCTTATCTTTCCCCACTGAGATGTGTGTCCTCTGCTGATGAAGTGCCACTGGTACAGAGAAAGCCTTACTAACCAAAGCTAGGGATAGAGGAAGATATTGATGTGGAGCATGGAGTGTCAGGTCCTGGGGTCACCAGCTGCACTGGCACTAGAGAAAAATCTGTGTGGGGGTGGGAGGCATCCATGGCCTTAAGGACAGAATGCGATCCTTGCCTGTGTGTGTGTAGATACAGTCTCACTGAAAGACAACATTGTAATATGTGTTCACATTCTCTATGGAACTTTAAAAGCAATGAGACAATGATAATAAGACTAATGACTTACTAAAGCAGAGGTCCTAGAGGGAAGAGAATGCACACACTTGGGACTATGATGTTTCCCTGCTGGAGGATTTCTTCACTTGCTTGTCCCATCCTTCTGGAACCATGCCACAAAAAGCTTCTTGGAATGCTAATGTTTAATGATTTTTCTATATGAAGTAATGAGGAATTTTCACAATGCCCCAATAGGAGATACCAGATATTTACAAATAAAGAGAACAAAACTTGGACCTACTCAACCACTGAAAGGCCACCCACAGGACAACACTGGTGTCCCAGAGGAGAGCAGCCAGAGCCAGATGGGCTGGAGTCTCATTTGTGGAAGCCATCCAAGCAGGTCTTATTCCAGAGTTCAAACAGTGTTAACCAGGGCTCACTGGCGATGGTGAAAAAGCAGGTGATGATCTGAGGGTCAAGCACAGGGATGGAAGGTGAGTGGAGAGTGGTTAGAAATAGTAGCTTCAACATTAAACACAGCACACATCCCAATCACACATCACAGGATGAGCAGCTGAGGGGCAGGCTGTGGCCCTCAGGTGCATCCCCTTGCCTGTTCTGGACCTGGGCCCTTGTCCTGATCTCAGGGACTCCTGTGTCATTTTCTCATCTTTAGGCCAGTGGTCTCCAGGGGACCTTTAGGCTGACCCAGTGTAACCCAGACCCTTAGTAGAGCATTGGGGTCCTCTCTCCAAGGGGGTGCTAGCTCAGAAGAGCCCATCACTCCAGGTGAGGTATATCCCAGAGCTGGGGTTCACCTTGATCATTTCCCCTGGAGCAGCAGCTGATAAGTCAGTGGAACCTGGTCAAGGCATGGGAAGGAGGGTCATGGGCCCCTCCTCAATCCCCATCCCATTGATTCTTTTCTCAGTGGGACCTGAGAAAGCCATTTTGGCAAAGGTCATGTTGCCCATCTCAAAATGCTCCCCCTGAATTATTTAGAAAAAGGAGGTCAATAAAGACCAGAGAAGGGATATCCTATGGCCTTCCCAGGAGACCTGAATCCTCGTGACCAGGAGCAATCTGATACCACTGTGGCTTTGGGGACAGGCAGCTAGCATGGGGTGAGCATTCAGAATCAGTTCCCAGATTGGCTATGGATCTACAAGTGGATCTTGGGGCTGGCTTTCCCAGCTGGCTCCAACTGCAGCACCAGCCATGGGTGTGACAAGGCCTGAAGCTCCCTCACTCCTCTGTGTCTCAAGGAATGGCACTGTCATCTTCACCACCTCTCCTCAGCTCCATGTTGCATCCTCAACTGTGTAACCCAAAGGATCTGCTGTGTATCTTACATTGTTCTTCTCTGAACTTGCTTGAAAGGGACAGTTGTCAATGTCTTCATCAAATTTCCCACATCTTGTTCTTCTAAGCTGAAGCTCAAAAGAGAATGCCAATGTGCTGTCCTCCTTGAACTGTTACAGACATGGACATTAACATGAGAACCCACCTCATGGTACCCTTGAGCAACTGCTACTGTAGATCCATGCAGTATAGAGACAGCCCCAAACACTCCTCCACTAAGGAGCTGCCTTTGGGGCTGGGTCAGCTTGCTGGGGGTAAGGCCAAGCTTGGGGAATTCAGAGTAAAGAGGTCTATGGTTGATATTCAGACCAGGAGGAAATTCCAGCTGAGTCATTCAGCATTAATACATCACACCCACTGCCCCATGTCCCCAAATACCCCAAGGAGACTGAGCCTGACGTCCAGCATGCTTCTAAAGCTACAACAGCACCCCTGGGGCACAGGTGCCCAGGGCCTGGCAGGGTGTTGTCTCTGTAAGAGTTTGCTGAGTAACAGCCCCAGAGTGGGAGGCGCATCTACAGCCCCATTGTCACACCTGTCACCTACCTGACAATAGTAAAATGCCCTGCAATGCTGCCGGAACACTCACATGTACACACACATGTGTGAGCACACACGCACACACACACACACATAACACACACACACACACGCACACATGAACATGGCTTCTGGATACCTCTTGTTCTAATACAAAGTACATTCTGAATTTTTTTTTTATCTCTTCTTCACTCTACTATGTTTCATTCCATCCCATACTCCCCACTCCACCTTCCATTTCCCCCAACACCCAAACTGAGTGCAAGTGCAGATCTAGGAAACACACAGTAGAGAGAGCCCAGCCTGAGAGAGCTTGGGTGGCAGACCCAGCTGGAAGCTGGCATTGCAGTGTCTGCAGAGGGTGGAGCTCATGCAGGGTGGAGCTCCCACTGCCCTTCCCTCAGGCTCTCAGGGCAGAGGTCCAGAGGGAGAGAGAGGAAGGTCCTGGGCTCCCAATGTGCACACACAATTCTCTCACAGACATACATACTTACACACACTTGCTGTATGCTCACACTCACAGACATACTACACACTAACCCACACTCACTCACACTCATACCTACACACACAAAAAGTCACACACTCACTCAAAAATTAATACTAACACACATATACACTTGCATTCAAATTCACTGAGACACTCACACCCACACTTACACACCCCAAACCCCTTCATACACACACAACCAGACTTGTTCCTGTTAGAGCCCCTGTGAAAATGGCATTCTTGGCTGCATTCTGTAGACTCTCCATTATAAGAACAGTACTCCAGGATTGAGAATCATGGTCTAGGAAGAGTATGGGAGGAGTGCAGAGAAGAGGCCCTGAGGTCACAGTGGCTGCTCTGGATGAGGAAGAATCCTTTCTCCCTGGATCCTCCATCCCCACTCCCACCTCTCTTGGTGTCTGTTCTCTGTTTCTGTTTGCATATGTTTTCTTAGAATATTTCTTCATTATGTCTCCTCTGCATTTCTCAATCTGTCTCCTTTCCTCCTTTCTGTCTTGGTCTTTGCCTTACTCAGGATCATTTCATAGGACTACCATTCCATAGTCCATATTTTGATCATCAATAAGTAACTTCTAAAAATGATGAAGAGGAAAACATCTTACATGTGGTATACATTGAGCTGGGTGTTTGCATTTTTAAATTGTTTCTTTCATAAAACTGTAACTAACTGTGGTGTTTGTATTTTTGCTGTATTATGGACTTCAGATGGTGAACAATATCCCTAGATAGGACCCCTGACTGCACCTCTGATACTGACTTCATAGCAAGTGCAGGTAATTAGGCCAGAAGATGTGGTACATACCTGCTCTCTCCTGGGCTTTAAGATGCGCACCAGCCTGTAGGCATTTGTATCGTTGCTCTGCAGGTTGAATATGTGTATGGCATACTCCACAGTTGCAAGTAAGTAGCTCATTGTAGGTTTTTCATCTTCACTCTCTACTTCTTCCAGGAACTCAGAACCTAAGAGAAGCAGCAGCATGGCCCAGGGCAGAGCCCACCGGCACCACCAGTTTGGAATGACTACAGATACTTGGACACCCATGGCCTTTGTCCTTCTAGCTCAGGCTCCCACTGAGCCTCCTTGGGAATTGGTCCAGTATATCAGCTTCAGAACGACTCCTCCCTCTGGATCTCCTCTCTGCTATTATACCCTGTCCCTTCCCACATGTCACCCTGACTCCCCCATCCCAAGCTGCATAATTGCCTCCTGTCTAGAGATAGGGGCAAGCTCAGGCAGGGTGGTTTGGAAAGAACCAACAATGAGAGGGAGGGGTCCCCTGTAGCTGATTTCCAGACAACCTCTCCCTCAGCACCTCACTGGAGAGGGACTTCATTTGTATGCCCCAGAATCACAGGCTGAAACAAGGACACAAGAGCAAGAGGTAGAAGTGGAAGGTGATCCCAGGGCAGAACAGTAGAACGAGAGCCACTGAAACAAGGACAGAGCCAAAAGGTTGAGTTAGTTGCTAAGAGTTAGCTTTGGGGGAGACAGAAGGCATCCTGTCCAGAGAAAATGGGTATCCTGTGAAGGAAAGACCATGGAGGTCTTGATGGGTCCATGTGTCTGTGTCCCTCCTCAGCTTCCCAGCCCACCTTGAGCAGGAGAGCAGATAAGGCTCATTGACTCCTGGGATTATGCCAGGCTATGGAAGTTTGGAATCCCAGAAGCAGGAGGTTCCAGCTGAGCTCACTGCATCTCCCTTTGCACTTCTCAGCCATGTGCTCAGCCTAGGGGCCTGGCTGGATGATGTAAGAGTCCTCTCTCCAAAGGTGTTGCAGCAGGGTGACCCTTGACACACCCTGGGCCTATAGATGCCTTTGTAGGAATTTGCTCTAGGGGAGGGAGGGTGGAGTAAGAGACAGACCCAGAGCAAAGCCAGTGAGCTTCAAGATAGCTGAGCTGTGACCAGTAGGTGAGCATAGGTGCCCTCTAGTGGCCTTGGTTCTCAGGGTTCAGTGGACACAATCTCTTGTGTGCAGAGCCTGGGTTCTAGAGAAAGACCCTCACAGCCTCCATCTGGAATAGCAAATGAGGCTCTGGAAGAACTAAAGAACACATCTTTCCAAACAAGGCTTCAGCTCTGTGCCTGTGAAAGGCTTCAGCACATGTCTGCAGCTACTTGTGAACTCAGGGGGACCAGAATGCCCTGAAGGCCTGTGGACACCCAGGACCCTGGACCTTTTCCTCACTCAGGATTCTGACCCAGTCAAGTCTGGCAGGGCTGGAGAGTTTGCATCTTCACCTGCTCCTGGGGGATGCTGCTGGTCCTGGTCCTGGACCACATTTTGGGGAGCACAGTTCTGAGTGAGTCCCTGGAGAGGATGCTGCTGAATCACAATGAGAAGTCACCCAAGTGTAGGGCATGGGCCCAGGCTGAGGCTGGTTCGTAGAGGCTGCAGTGGATCAGGGAAGGGGTTGCCACTCCTTGCCTGCTGTAAGATTTCAGACCCCCAGGCCTCAGTGACCATATAGCTCTATGGATGGAAAAAAGGCTGCTTTGAAGCTGGCAGCCTGTTCTCATGCACAGAGGCCCTCAGAGCTGGTGTCCTTCCCAGGATGAGGCCTCTCAAAACTCATTCTCACATTAAACAGTGCCCATGAATTGACTGATTCATTTTTTTTTTCTATAGTCAGCTATTGTGGTAAGTGTTGTGCCAAATATTTCTTTTTTATGTAGTAAAACCTTGGTTTGCGAGCATAATTCATTTTGGAGTGATGCTTGTAATAGAAAGCACTTGTATATCACAGTGAATTTCAAGAGCCATTGGCTCAGTTGTGATCATGTGATGTTTGGCATCACATAGGACTTGTATTACAAGACATCACTTGTTTATCAAGTTAAAATTTATTAGAAATGTTTGCTCAGGTTGCAGAACACTCGCAGAACAAGTTACTCGGAATCCAAGGTTTTACTGTTTTTATTTTTATACCTGATTATTATTTCTTCGTAAGCAAATTTTCCAGATGTTCAATTGCTTATTTTATATTGTTTAACTTATTCAGAATTTTGAATACACATTTTGTAAATGTCCCCTGTAATTGTTCTTGAAAAAAAAATTTTCCCAAGTCATATTGATGATGATTCTATCTACATTGGCTTCTCCAGACAGTAAGCAATTGCTTTACCCTCTGATAAGTCCAAATCTCAATCACTGACCTTTCTAGGAATTCTCTGTACCTGTTTACCCATCCTGGAAGCCCCTCCAGCCTTGATATAGGTTGCTTGGTGCTATTTTCCCCTTCAGAGTTACCCTACACCTTTATATTTTTTAAAACTGCAATATACCTGATGCTGCCATATATGTTTCCATGTCATGGAGGTATTCTTATTTTCTTCAGAGATGTGGAGAGCTTTGATGAGTCTCACACACATGGCAGGGACTTCAGACAGCTGGAGTAGGTCCTTATGTACATTACCGGACAGTCCATTGTCCCCTGCTCTAGCATTCTTCCTCCTTTCTTTGTTCCCTAAGGGGGAAGGCTAGGAAGCTATTCACCACTTCATTGCTACTTTGTGTGCAGTCCTGTATTTATTTTACCTAGGATGTGTCCAGACTCTAACACCGTGGGAATGCCGAGAGTAGTGTCCAGTGTCTCCTGGCTGGTGCAGAAGAGACCACAGAGCTGAGCTTTTGATAATCAACATAGGTATGCTCTTCTAATGTCCCACATGATTCCCGACTACAGGCCTGGGAATTTATTCCTGAGAATGTTTGCCAGAAATCTTGGCTTTCAGGTGGTTCCAGGGAATGGAAATTGCCCCTACCAACACATAGTGTCAGGTGTTCATGTCCAGATATGTCTTGCCTTCCAAGGTTGCCCAGTGTTCTGGCTGTTATCATTGTGCGGGGCCAATTTCTAGCCCCCGTTGGTGAAGCTTGGGAACAAAGCGTGTCCCCACAGCCTATGAGTCCAGGGCACAGAGCCAGGCTGTTGCATTGGCAGATGCCCACAGCCGGTGAGGCATCACTGGAGGTGGCATTAGCTCTGACCCTTACATGGGCAAGTGTATAGTCTAAAACAGCATTTCCTTCAGATTATTGCTTTCACGCACTGTCCACTTCCAGCAAATGTGAGGCAGGCATCCCAGTGTGCTAAATTAGTAATGCCCCTCTGCAGTGAGCTCCCTGAGTGTTCTTGCCTGAGCTGGGGCCATTTCCATCAAGTGTTGGGCTCCAGTGATTTTTAGGCAAATTCCCCACAGTCAGGGTTGCATATTGCCCCTCTCTTAGGATATGTCTGTATAAATGTCCATTCTTAGGTCATTCAAACATTGTCATTCTCTGTTTTAAGATGAGTTATTTCTACGGCATTGATTTCAAAATGATCAGTGAGGATCATCTCTCTGCTGGTAAGATATTCCATTCTAGAACATCTCTGTAGAATAATCTCATGACAAAAAGAGTCAAGGGCATAAAAGTGGTTCTGTCCACCATCTCATTATTGACACAGAAACAACAATATCCCAAGGAAGTATTTAAAATCTAGTCTTAAGTGCTTGTTCCAAGACTGAGGTATGGTGTGTGTGTGTGGTGTGGGGACTGTAGCTGCAGGGTGATTCATTGCTCAGATGGTACTAGGATTTAAAAGGTTCACAATGCAATCAAGGTGGCCTGTCTCAAGTCTTTCCTGCCGTTGCCCCAATAGACTCATTGACCATCATATTACAATGTGGTTAATAACAATTCTTGTCCTTAGCTCACAAAGAGTTTGACTGTTGTACTAGAAACAAAAAGAGGACACAATGATATCCCAGTTTGGCTTTTGAACAGTGCAGACCCTCTTTCTTGCTGGATTAAGGATGGGAGGATGAGACTCAAGTTGTCCCTAGATCTCATCTTAGCATGCTGCGGAGGCTGAGGCACAGGATCGGATCGTGCAAGGACATCAGGCAATAGAAGGAGTACCCAAGGGAAAAAATTCAATTGTTGTGGGCTCCAAAGAAGCAACTTTCCTAACTGGTGGGGAGAGGGGGCTTAGCATCTTAGTTTCAACCAGGTCTGTGTGTCTATCTATCTATCTATCTATCTATCTATCTATCATCTATCTATCGATCATCTATCATCATCATTATATATCTCTATCTATCTATCTATCTATCTATCATCTATCTGTCAATTACCTATCTTTCACGTCATTTTATACACACACATACACACACAGATTCTTTTTCTTGGTTAAATAAACCTTAATTATCATTTCAATGTCTGTGGGTCAGAAATTCAAGTGTGACTTAGCTGGTACATCTTGCCCAGAGTTTCATGATGCTATGGTTGAGATGAGATGACATCAGGGGTTGCTGTCACCTAAAGACTTGACTGAGCTGGATGATCTACTTCTAAGAGATCTGTCCCCATGACTGTTGGTTGGAGGCCACACTTCCTAACCAGTTGTGTTAGGAATACTCATGGGCCTTTTTTTTTCTTTTTTGACATAAAAATAAAATTTTTTATTTACTTTTTCCTTTTTTTCAAAATTTATTTTGAAATAAATTAGTTAGTTAGCATATAGTACAATAATGATTTCAGAAGTAGAGTCCAGTGGTTCCTCCCCTACATATAACCCCAGTGCTCGTCCCAACAGTTAACTGTCCTCCTTAATGCCCCTTGACCATTTATCCCATTCCCCCACCCAAAACTCCTCCAGCAACTCTCAGTTTGTACTCTGTGTTTATGAGTCTCTTATGTTTTGTCCTCCTCCATGTTTTTATATTATTTTTGCTTCCCTTCCCTTATGTTCATCTGTTTTGTATCTTAAATTCCACATATGAGTGAAGTCATATGACATTTGTCCTTCTCTGATTTCGCTTAGTGTAAGTGAAATGCTCTAGTTCCATTCACATTGATGCAAATGGCAAGATTGCATTCTTTTTGATTGCTGAGTAATATTCCATTGTATATATATGCCACATCTTTTTTTAAATTTTATTTTTAATTTTTAAAAATTTATATCATAATTAGTTAGCACATAGTGAAACAATGATTTCAGGAGTAGATTCCTTAATGCCCCTTACCCATTTAGCCCATCCCCCCTCCCACAACCCTTCCAGCAACCCTGTTCGTTCTCCATATTTATGAGTCTCTTCTGTCCCTCCCTGTCCCTGTCCCTCTTCTGTCCCTCCCTGTTTTTATATTATTTTTGTTTCCCTTCCCTTATTT